CAAATCAATAAACCTATCATCATCATTATCAACCCAAAACACCAAATCAATAAACCTATCATCATCATTATCAACCCAAAACACCAAATCAATAAACCTATCATCATCATTATCAACCCAAAACACCAAATCAATAAACCTATCATCATCATTATCAACCCAAAACACCAAATCAATAAACCTATCATCATCATTATCAACCCAAAACACCAAATCAATAAACCTATCATCATCATTATCAACCCAAAACACCAAATCAATAAACCTATCATCATCATTATCAACCCAAAACACCAAATCAATAAACCTATCATCATCATTATCAACCCAAAACACCAAATCAATAAACCTATCATCATCATTATCAAGCCAAATTAACAAAACAATAGAATAAATAATACTCAAAATAAAAAAAAGTAATATCAGAACATGCTATCATCATGTAGCTGGTGAACAACCAATCAAGCAACCAATAATTTACCATGTCAGGCAACCAATAATAATATTTACCATGTCAGGCAACCAATAATAATATTTACCATGTCAGGCTTCTGGGTATCAGTGAGAAGGACATTTTTGATTTTCATAGCCTTAGCTCTTCTTTTATTCCTTTCTTTCCTTGATTTTAGTTTCTTTTTCTTGGAATTCTATAATAAATAAATAAATTTAGAGTAGATATACAGTAGATATCATCAAATATCCATCTAAGTTAGATATGGTGAAAGTAAAGTAATTCATTGTTATATCCACTATGTAATGTCTGTCTGATTGTTAAAATATTATTTTTTGTCTCTATTCCAACTGTAGCCATGTTTTGAAAAAAAAATTAACAAGAGACGAAAAATATGTTAGAGAATGGCTACCATTGATAATTATATACAATAACAGATGTAAATGTCAAATAAAAATACAATGGATGCACACACACACTAAAAAAAATTAACTTGACACCTYCTGTGAACATGTCCTGTTCAGATACAACATGGTAACTTACACAATATTCCCATTATTTCTGGCACCATTAAAGTGTGCTTTACCTGGTTGTATTGTACTGAATGAGGGGCATATATTAAATGCATAGGAAGWCCATCTGATACTGAGCTATCTGAACCACCTGTGCTGAAATTACATAGTTTTGCAATTAAAATGAGGAACATAAAATGCTTGAAACTAAGGGAATGACTAACTAGTTTATAGTCAACATAATCCCTTAATTTTGAAAATCAATGAATACTTTATATTATAGTGTTTAAAATTGTATATATTTTTCAAGATTTATAATATGTGAAACCTTTGACCACACAAGTTGACGACACCTAAATGTCTGAGCTACAATCATGTAACTGTTGACTCCAAATACAGGTATTCTTTCCAGAATTAGATAGTTACCTTGACTCAATATCTGACAAATAATCAGCTTCCAAATTGATATCTGCAGTAGTCATATTAGATGCAGCAGTGCCTTTTTTCTTCATTCTGTCTAGTATGTCTTCCTTAAACTTCTGTTCCAATTCCCTCAACAATTGAATGTACTGAAGATAAGAGATGTTTTAGATAAGCTATGATAGGATTCCTCACATGACAGCATGACAGGATTGTACTGTACAACTATATCATGTTCTTTTGTATAAGAGACTTATCAAACAAGTTATACTTTCTGTTGTGACTACTTGTTTACCATCCAAAACCCATATATTATGAACCATATAATGCGTTGCAGTGATATTAAA